TCAGCACAGGAGCACACACATGCATGGTGCTGCCCCCTGCACCGGCTGAGGCGTAGCTGGCAAGCGGCAGCAACAGCGCAGGCCGACCACTGGCTGGGTCACCAGCTGGCCCAGCCCAAGGGAGGTAAGCCACCCGTCGGGCCCCATGTGCGCCAGCAACCCTCCCTGTGCCTGCTGCTGCCCCGCTAGCCTTACCTTAGCCACCGCATGCTCGGTGCAGCGGCAGGCAGGCCCAGGCGCTCCTGGGCAGCCATGGCACGTGGCAGCGAGGGTGCAGGCTGACCACTGGCTGGGCCACCAGCTGGCCCAGTCCAAGGGAAGTAAGCCATCTGCTGGCCCCACACGTGCCAGCAACCCTCCCTGCACCCGTCCGCCTCCCACCTCCCACCCCTGGCCCTCTTTTACTTACATTTAGTAGTTGCTCAGCAGGGAGGGGTGGAAACGTCCAGAAAGCTCGCCTTAGCTGCAGACAACTTGCAGCACCGTTTGTAGACTGGGACTTTTGGCAGGCTCAGCAGGGCAGAGACAGCCTGGACAATTCCTATTGGCTTTTGAAAGCCAATAGAATTAGACTCTATTCAAGAGAGTCTATTCTATTGGCTTTCGAAAGCCAATAGATTCTATTGGCTTTCGAACACCAATAGAATAGAGTCTCTTGAATAGAGTCTATTCTATTGGCTTTCAAAAGCCAATAGAATAAGAGGGAGTAGCACAGCTAAGGAAAAGGGGAAAAATGGCGGACTGCGTTGTTTGACAACCCCCGTGAAATGGTCGTTTGACCCCAAATGGGGTCACGACCCACAGGTTGAGAACTGCTGGTCTAGATGAAACTTTTCACTGCCAGAATGAAAGAACCTTCTTGGCCTTGTCATTGATTATCATAGTCAATTTATCGTTTCTGGTAATAGCCAACATACCTGCTGATAGGCTGGGTTCTGTGTCTCTCCCCATTCAGCTGCATAATTATTTTTTCAAAAGAGCTGAAAGCTAGTGACTCAAGTTGAATAAAAATTGGAAAAAGTTATATACATTTAAATATGATGAGAAGCATATTTTGGGACCCTTCATTTTTTCATAATCTTTGTTTGGTGTCTACTCATTTTTCTTTTCCTCTTTATCAGAACCAAGTGCTCTTCTTGATCATGTTCTTGATGGTCTTCTTCTAGATTATTCCTTCCATAATCTGCCTTGATAACTACAGAGTCCTGGATTGGAATCTCATGTTGGAAAAAAGGATTCTGCACTTGAACTGGAAGAGTAAAGAGGTATTCACTTTTTTTATTCAGCAGCTGGTTTTTAAATTATGTTGTTTATTGTTCCTAATAGCTGAAAGCCATCAATATGAGTATTTTTTTTTAATAAATGCTGGTTGATATATATTTTTCTTTAAATATGCAATACCATGTCATAATATTATTTAGACCTTACATTAATCTGGAATAACTTTTCCTCATTCCTGCAGGTATGTTTTACCAATGTCCATTTGGCAGTATAATTAGTGTTAATGCCAGTGTGATAGTAAATGCCACTAAAGTTTATTAAAGCAAATTATGGAAGGCAAAAGCAAGAGTTATATAAATGGTATTATATGTCATACATCAACATTATTTGGCATGAATGTTAATTGTCCAGGATTGATGTTGTTAGGTTTTTTAAAAGCAATGACACTGAAAATAAATTACAAACATTACTAATACTTTGAGGGAATGGGCAGTGCCCTATAATATAGAAAATATTTTTACATTTATGATTAGCACTATTAATTGTTACTGATGAAGTAACTTCCTTCTATATAATTTGCCTGTTTTCATAAACATCAATAAATATTCTGTCAGCAATTTTGATTTTTTTAAAAGATGCCTTTGAGGTTGCAAAAATCTTTTTGAAGTAAATGAACATTTTAGAAATTTAGGGTAAACAATATTTTTTTTTTAAAAAAAGGGCAATGTACAATTTTATAATCTACTAGGAGCTAAGTGTTTTTAACCATTCCTGTTATATAATGCAACTAATCAAACTCGATCAACAAGTCAATTGCTATTTTAGATGAATCTCTGTTAGCTGGAAATGGAACCTCTTAACATCCAATCGTTATATCCTAGCCATGGAAGAAACAGGACTTGGTGTCATTAAATTCATTGGTCTGAAGAAATTTAATGTACCTATATGTTGAATTGTAAGTATTGTTTGTTCCAGCCAACTAGGCATTAAAAAAAAACCAAAGTTCATTGGTTTGAAACTTTCTAGCTTATCTCTTTTGCATTATGCTAAAACATATCTAAGATATAGGATTCACATTGGTCTAACCACCCTTAAGAGTGTTTACAGATTCTGAGTAGGAGGTTGTAGGATCATATCCTTGTTAGTCTATTGTGCCAAAAAATCAAGAGTCTGGTAAGCAGGGTTTAAATTGGGAAGGAAGGAGAGAAGAAGGCAAGTTGGTTATGCAAATGCATGTTATATGTACCAGTACCACATAGTCACTCCTTCACTGAGACAATTTATCCAAATTCAGATATAACATTCCATTCACAAAGACAAATCTTTCAGAATCTTCCAGTTCTATTAACTTTTGAAAAATTCTTTTGTAGCATTGTTATTCTTTATATTTGGAGTACAGCTAGATGCCAAGGTTATTATTTTGTCTTCTTTCTATAATTTTAAAATTAAGATCTACCTTGTTTTATCTTTGAATTGATCCATTACTTTCCAAGATGTTGACTTAACATACAATATTACTCCATTTTCCATTTTAAGCAGATATAATAAGCAAAAAAGGACATTTTGATGCAATATGCCAACACTAAGCCTCACATTTCACAAGCCATCCAATAGGTAATTGTGAAGCTGGATCTCACCATCTTACCCCACTGTACAGCAACATCTGGCACCTTTTCCCAAAATCAAAGGAATATTTTTGTGGGCATCAGTTTGATTCAGGTAAAGAGATGGAAAAATATGATCATGCCCTGGTTGAAGAGACAAGCTGTGGAGTACTTTTGTTGATGTCCTTAGGAAGCTTGTATAGTGTTGGCAAAAGTGTGCAGTAAATTGTGGCAGAGTATGTTGAGAAGTGAATATAGGTAACAAAAGAGCTCATTTCAAGAATTATTTTCCACTTTCATTTACTGAAATATCTAACTAAAGTTTTGGAGGTTGAAGTATTATTGTTCATTCCACCTTCATGTATTCTGCATAAACTAAAGCACCCTATCCATTTTAACAGAATACGAATTTATTCCATACAGTTAATTTTAATGTTATGATATAGCTAATATCTAAAGCAGTGGTTCTCAACCTGTGGGTCGGGACCCCATTTGGGGTCGAACGACCATTTCACAGGGGTCGCCAAACAAGGCTGTCCGCCATTTTTTCCCCCTTTTCTTTGGCCACGCCCCTGGCACCCGGTGATTTATAAGTGGTTGGGGGTCACCACAACATGGGGAAGTGTATTATGGGGTCGCGGCATTAGAAAGGTTGAGAACCACTGATCTAAAGGAGTTTCCCCTCTCAATATTTTTATCTATATTTCAAAATACATCTCAAGCATTTTGACTTATATTATGGGCTATCAATAAAAATGTAACTCAATGAAATGCTTATTTAAAGTAATACATCATCCAGTTTATATTTTGGCAGTGCTTGATTCAAATAACAATGGTTATTAATAATGCAATCATTTTCACTGTGTTCAGAATACCCAAAAGATTGCAAGCAATTAAAGAATTTTCAATATGCATGTAGTGCTTTCTCTAAAATAAGATGATTTACTGAGGGTGCCATGACTTCAACTCAGTCATTAAATGAGTTGACTCTTGCAGAAACAGCTGTTGCTTTAATACTCACAACAGGCTTACTAGGAAGCAAGACCAAACACACTAAATTTGGATACTGAGCATTACATTCTCAAAAGAGATTGAACATGTCAACATCTCCAGAAATTTATTTCATCTGTTCATTTTTTACATGTCTATACTCTTAAAATAAACTTATGGACACCTTAAAATATACTTTATATCTACCTGTCATCACTAGAAGGATCCCAAAGCAGAAATACAAAGATAGTCCAACTTAATTCAATGTTTATATCTTGAATAAGGGTTGGAAAAATGGAAGTTCATTCACCAATAGATTAACCTGGGGAAATATCATTTTTTTGTTGTTTTTCAGCAGAATGGGATGAAATTATTGTTATGAAGTATGGTGTTATGAGAGTGATGTATGAGTTTCTGAGCATAATGCAAGAGGGTCTCAATGTGTCCCTTATGATAGAGATGATTATGAGGTCTGAGGAAATCAGCTTTCCTTTGCCACAAATAAATCAGTCATTGGGTTTTTCAGCTACTAAAACAACTCATAAAACATTGCACAACCACTCAGGGTGAAATACTAGGTGGCACTAAGGTAGAACTAAGGTAAAACTAAGGATGTTTTTCAATCGGGATCTTTCCATTTCCAAGACACTGTGAATGGGATGTGTAATGCTGACCTAATCACAATAATTACTGTCACTGAAACAAGACTCCACCTGCTTCCTATCCTCCCAATGGTAATAAGATAAATGACCCCCCTCCTGACCCCAAACCCATTTTTGGCACAACTGGCATTCTTAGCCCAATACAGCTGCAGTAAAGCAACTGAAAAATGAAGCTGCATGGAAGCTCCTGCCTGGAATGGAATAAGTTCAGATTTAGTAAATGGAAATTATCACCATAATATTGCCTGAGCTTTGGAAGATATGCATCATTAATAAAAATTCACACTACAAGTCTTTCTTCATAAGAAGAGTTTTAAAGGTACAAATGCACTGCTATTGTTCAAGAAAAAGCCAGTTTGGTGTTATTAAAGGTGGTTAAAAATATCAAGCTAGAAGGGGCGTTGTCTTACCTGAACGCCTTTTCTCAGCATGAAGATGTAGCATCCACCGATTGGGTAATCAAAGCCCTCCTGCTCAGATTTAGACTAAGACCAAACTTTAGCCATGCCTCCCTTGGGCTCTCCTTTCCCAGTTTTGTCGAGGCGAAGCATTCATTAGGTCCGACACAGTAGCTCCTCCTGAAAAAAATCTGCCTAGACTAAGTGTTAAGGGTGGGTGTGGATGCTACATCTTCATGCTGAGAAAAGGCGTTCAGGTAAGACAACGCCCCTTCTCCAGCATGATAGATGTAGCATCCACCGATTGGGACATACCAAAGCCACCCGTGTCCCTGTCGGGAGGGAAGTCTAGGCTTGTGGCTCATGGGTAGAGACTACCTGCTGCAGAACCCTTCTGCCGAAGGATGCGTCTGAGGCAGCGAATTTATCAAGCTTGTAATGCCTTATAAATGAAGAGGGGGAAGCCCAGGTGGCTGCCCTGCAAATTTCCTCAATCGAGGCCTGAGTGGACCAGGCCGCAGATGTAGCAGCGCTACGTGTAGAATGAGCAGTGATGTGAGGAGGAACAGGAAGAGACTGAGTCCTGTAAGCGTGAGAGATGCAGGCCCTAATCCATCTACCAATGGTCGAGGATGATACTTTCAGACCCATGGAAGAAGGTTGGAAAGACACAAACAAGGCCTCCGATCTATGAAATGCAGCGGTTCGCTTCACATAGTGATGCAAAGCCCTGCGTACATCTAATGTATGCCACAATCTTTCAAGACGGTGAGAAGGTCGCGGACAAAAGTCCGGAAGAATCAGATCTTGATACCTGTGGAAGCTAGTATTGACTTTCGGAATGAAAGAAGGGTCCAATTTTAGGATCACTCTGTCATCCAGAAAAACACAAAGATCCTCCCTGATCGAGAGTGCAGCAAGTTCCGAGATGCGTCTCGCTGAGGTGATGGCTATCAAAAAGGCTACTTTCAATGAAAGGAAGTGTAGTGAACAAGATCTGATGGGTTCAAATGGTGAACTGGTAAGAACCTGCAGAACCCTTGGCAGGTCCCATGTGGGATATCTGTGTACTACAGGGGGACCTGTATTAACGGCTCCCTTAAGGAAGGCCGTAACAGCTGGATGATGAGATAGCTGTACCTGATCCTCACAAATGAGGACCGTGGATAATGCTGCGATCTGCCTACGGATGGTATTGTGAGACAGTCCCCTGTTTAGTCCATCTAAAAGGTAGTCCAATAATATCGGAATGGTGGTAGCCAGTGGGTTGATCCTCCTGGTGTTACACCATGCACAGAAACGTTTCCACGTGGCATCGTAGATCCTGTTAGTGGAGGGACGTCTGGAGGCTTGAATTATAGCAATCACTCCAGTCGAATAGGACTGTCTAATTAAGCTCTCCCTTTCAAGTGCCAAGCGGCTAGTTGAAGCCACTGCGGGTCCGGATGTTGGAGCTGACCCTGACTGAGGGAGATGCGATCTGCTGGAATCTTCCAAGGTGGGGAGATCGATAGGTCCACGAGATCTACAAACCAAGGACACCTTGGCCAATGTGGGACTAGCAAGATTAATTCTGCCCCCTCTAATAGGAGTTTCCTGATGACAGCTGGAATCAGGGGAAGTGGAGGGAAGGCATACAGAAGTCCCTTGGGCCATCTGCTGTGTAGCGCATCCGTTCCCTCCGCCCCCTGTGACGGAAACCGCGTGAAATACCTGGGAAGCTGAGCATTTGCTGGCGAAGCAAACAGGTCTACCTGAGGCTGCCCGAACCTCTCCGATATTTCCCTGAAGAGGTTCGGTTCCAATCGCCACTCCGAGTGGTCTATCGTCGCCCTGCTTAGAGAATCTGCCTGACGATTCTCCTCCCCGGAAATGTGTTCTGCTCTGATGGATTTCAGATGGGATTCTGCCCACAGACCCAATGCTAGGGCCTCCTGCATGAGGGACCAAGATTTGGTCCCTCCCTGTCTGTTGATATGAGCCTTGGCTGCGACATTGTCCGTCATTACCAGGACATGATTCCCCTTCACTATGTTGGAGAACTGGCAAAGAGCCAGGTGTATTGCCCTGAGTTCTAGCCAATTTATATTGTGCGTGAGGTCGTGCTTGGACCATTGACCCTGAGCCATATGTGTCTGCCTGTGTGCTCCCCAACCGAACAGACTGGCGTCCGTGGTCAGGATAAGTCTGTGAGGCTCCTTGAAGAATGTCCCCTTGTGTATGGCTGGTGACCCCCACCATCTGAGTGACTGTAGAGTGTGGTACGGAACTCTCACCTTCCGTGTGGAGGCACTCATGTTCCGCTTCTGGAAGGGAAGCAGGAACCATTGTAGATGTCTGGAATGAAGACTGGCCCACGGCACTATTCCTAGGCAAGAAATCATCTTCCCCAACAGCTGTGACAACTGGACAAGGGGAACTACCTTCTCTCTCTGGATCCTGCAAACTAAGGATCTGATACCGTCCCTGCATTCCTGGGAGAGGTAGACCTTGCATAGGTCTGAATCTATCACCGCCCCTAGATGCAAGATCCGAGTGGTAGGGGTGGTGTGGCTCTTCTTGAAATTTACTGAGAAGCCGTGTCTCTGAAGTGTCTCTATTGTAGTCTGTAGATCTAGTTGAGCAGTGTGGAATGAACTGGACTGAATGATTATATCGTCCAGGTAACATTGTACTCTTACCGGTATTAATCTGAGATGTACCGCTAATACTGCCAGTATCTTTGTGAATACCCGTGGTGCCGAGGATAGACCAAAGGGAAGTGCCCTGTACTGATAATGTCTGTTTGCATGGCAGAAACGGAGGAATCTGCGGTGATGTGGTCTGATAGGAACATGAAGGTAGGCTTCTGTCAGGTCTATGGAGGAGAGGTAATCTCCCTTCCTGACACTTGCTAGAATGGACTTGAGGGACTGCATTTTGAACTTCCTGTAGATTAGGAAGCGGTTGAGTCCCTTTAGATCTAATATCGCTCTCCATCCCCCTGAGGGCTTGGGAACCACGAAGAGAATGGAGTAGAACCCTTTTCCTTTTTGTTCCGGAGGAACTGATTCTATGGCTCTTATTTCTAATAAGTGTGATATTGCTGTGTCCACTAGTTCAGCCTTGTGTGCGTGTCTTGAGGCGGGGCACTGAAGGAAACGGTCTGGTGGTATGGACTTTAGTTCTAGGGCTAAACCGAATCTTATGGTCTCTCTCACCCAGGTATCGTTTGTGGTGACCTCCCAAGTGTCGCTGAACAGGGTTAAGCGTCCGCCTATGGGAGGGTCCAATCTGGTGTCACTTAGACCTTCGGAATGGACGGCCTCCCGCCCCCCTGAAGGGACACTTGGTCTGGAACTGACCCCTGGCTCCTGAATTCTGGCGGTCCTGTTGGCGATCCTGTCTGGGGGAGAAGGATCGGGAACCTCTGGGCCAATCCCAGGACTGCCCTGATCGAAAGGGCTGCCTCCATCCCCAAGAACTTCCGGCCCTGAAGGACTGCCTGCAAAATTCTTGTTGAGGTCTCCTTTCCATCTTCTTGGATGGATGAGCTAAGGCTTTTCTCTTATCCTTGCCTTCAACCAGGTACGGCTCTAGGATTTGGCCAAATAAATTCTTGCCACTGTAGGTGTCTGTAGCAAGACGCCATCTTGACTTTAGGTCAGCCCTCCACTGTTTGAGCCACATGAATCTGCGGGACGCAACTGTGGCTGCAATAGATCTGGCCGAAAATTTGGTGGAGTTGAGGGAAGCATCTGACATGTATTCCGCCGCTGTTACTAGTTTACCTAGAGTATGATGTGCGCGTACCTGGTCTGGAGGAATTAATGCCTGTAGTTCCCGGAGCCACATGATAGAAGTTCTCGCGAAAAAGGACGAGGACGAAGACGCCCTGATGGCCCAGGCAGAGGCCTGGTGAGCCCTGCGGAGAGAAAACTCAAAACGTTTATCTTCCGCCTTGAGATGTTCGGCCATGTCTCCAGGAACAGTGGATGTGGAGAACAAAGATGTTAATGGAGCGTCCACTGTGGGAACCTCTAGAAGGGAAGAGAATGCAGAAGATACATTATACAATCTCTTTTCTGTGCTGTTAGGAGAGGGTAGGGTGGCCAGTGAGGTCCACTCTTTTTCCACCGTCTCGTGGAAAACAGCTGGACAAGGAACTTGTTTTTCCTCTACCACCTTTCTAACAAACAAAGGGTTTGACTCTTGTGCAGCCGAGGTAGATGCCTTGGGTTCCTGCTCCGAGACCAGGTTGGCTGTTGTGCAGGCTTTTAACAAAAGAGATTTGAATAGGTTTGGATCAAAAAGCCCCGATGTTGGGGTTGGATCCTGATTTACCTCCTCATCCTCAGACATAGGTCCTTCAGTTGTCACCAGGTCAACAGATTCAGTCTCCCCAAACTGAGATGAAGTCTCAGATATACCTGAACCCGCTGACTGGGGATGTCCAGTGCGGTCTGCGGGCAAGGGTGGAGAAGGTGAAACCTGTGAGGGACCAGCTGCTAAGGAAGAAGACATGAATTGATTGAAGGCCTGGTGCATAAAGCTCTGAAACTGTTGAGCCCATAAGGATCGCTCAGCTGAAGGCACACCAGCACCGGTGGTCTCAGGAGTATGCGTACTAATGTTAGCAGGAGAAATGGAAGGCCCTGGCAGAGGGGATATAGGGATATGTTGTCTAGGGGCAGATAGACTGACCTGTTCAGTTCCCCCTTGAGGAGACCCTGCCCTGGGGGCTTGATAAGACGGCACCAGTGAGGGCTCATAAGGTGAGCTGGCCAGAGAAGCAGGGGGAACCAATTCAGCTTCTCTGGACCTGAGCCTTTGTGCTTTGGAGAACTCTTGCTCCAGTGCCTGGTGTCTCCTCGAGGCCTCTCGCTCAGCAGTCTTGGAGGGTTCTTTGGTTGATAAATGCTTGGTTTTAGCTTTTTTCTTCCCCCCTGTATTTGAATCAGAGGATCTGCATTTTGCTTGAATGGGGGGAATATCAGAACCCTGCAAAGCCTGAGGAGACTCACCATCTGCCATTGTGCCCAGGCTTTCCAGGTAGGAGAAGCCCTGGGGTGGGGGTAACTACGCAGATCAAGTTGTCCGGGAGGGAAGCTTCCCACGCCCTAAGACAACCACAATGGCAAACAGCCAGAACAGCTGTCTAAAACTGTCTGCTGGGCCCTGCCGGCACAGCGCCGGGAGCTAAACAGAACAGGTCAGGAACCCCACAATTTAAGATAATAGGTGTTATTATTGTTATTATTATTTTTATTTTATTTTATCTTATTTTATTTTACTTTTGTAATCAATCTCTGAGAAGCAATGCGTCGAAAAAACAACAGCTAAACCCCCAAGAGGACCCAACGCAGTGAGTCACTAATGCTAGGCCTGAATTGGAGGCAAACAGCAACCTTAAAATGGCGACCACGCCCAGCACCAAATTCAAAATGGCGGCCGCAGGTCTTCTTTGTGCCTAAAAATGGCCTCTCCTCTTAGTCAGAGCTGTAAGACAGCTTCTCCAGCCTCGTCCTTGAAGTCCCCGTTCAGGCAGGCAAAAAGACGGAGGGAACCTTACACACACTTCCCCCCTTACAGCTATAAGGCACCACAAACTACTTGCGATTCTGCAGCCTGGGGGAGTCTCTGTGCGATCCTGGATAGAGCCTCGTGGCCACGAGGCAAGAGAGAAACTCTGGTAATCGGCTGAATTCTCCAGAAACGCTGGCAATAAAAATTGTTATCAAACACAAGGGAAGCCTCCCTCGGTGTGCTGAACAGATACTCTGAGCTGAAAACTGCCTCAGCTGCAAAGCTCCGACGATCCACGAGGCCAATTAGGCCCTCTGGAAAGCAACTCTCCAAGGTTGCTAATTCACTATCCTTTACTAAAAAAAACAAAAATTATGTAAAGAGTACACTACAGGAAGCTATATTAACAATCCTAATGCTACACTATTTAAACTAACAATTGCTGAGGAGCTAACAAAAATGTGTCCTCTCTGAGCATAGACTAAGACAAAACTGGGAAAGGAGAGCCCAAGGGAGGCGTGGCTAAAGTTTGGTCTTAGTCTAAATCTGAGCAGGAGGGCTTTGATTACCCAATCGGTGGATGCTACATCTATCATGCTGGAGAATTGTGGATTCCAATCTCCTGACTTAGGCATAAAGCAAGGCTGAGTGGCTTTGAGTATGTCTGGTCAAACAGCCTTGAATAGTGTTTTCTGAAAAATATATCATATACAGTACATGAGTGTGTGGATATGTGCATATGTTTTAGTCTCCAGGCTCTTAATCATCTTAGTCGCTCTTCTCTGTACTCTTTCTAGAGTCGTTTTTACATTGTGGCGATCAAAATTGAATGCAGTATTCCAAGTGTGGTCTTACCAAGGCATTATTAAGTGATATTAACATTTCATGTGATCTTAATACTATCCCTCTGTTAATGCAGCCTAGGACTGCTTCTTCCTATCCCTTAATTATAGATATTTCTATATCATGGATTATTCACAAAATCAACAATTTGGAATTGTCTTAAAGTGATGCTTAAATTTTAATTCCTTTTAAATTGTGAGAGGAAAATTGTTCACATGTGTAGGATTCAAAGAGAATATATATTTCAAATGGTAATCCAGTGAATAGTGAATAGATATGTTTAATTTAAAATTATTGCTCAGAAAGTATACTTCATCTCTAGATCAGGAAATCAAAAGATATTTTCTACATAGAAGAAAAGTGTGCATGTATGTAAGTAAACTTGTAAAATGATGAAATTAATCTCATACCATGATGTTGCAGAAGATTGAGAAATAAAATTAAAATCTCTGAAGAGATACATGACTGAGTTCTAATTTCAGAATTACCCAAATTGGATTTAAAAGGACGGAAAAGCCAATATTGTACAAGAAACAGGGATTAAAACCATAATGCTTAAAAGGAAAGGAAATCCATCATATCAAAAAGAAACAGGAGATGAGAAAATAGCCAGTAGTTAACTTGTATAGCACAAGAACTGGATCCAAACAGTTGCTTACACAGGTGCTGTATTAAATTCTCTCTATCTTAAATAACTTATTTTGAAACTGAGATGGCCTTTAGAGGGGAAAAAAAATACCCTGGACAAATCTCTTAATATGGAATATAATCTCAACTTCCTTTGTTTTCAGGAAAGTTTATGCAGAAATATTCTTTTTTCCCAACATGGCTCCTTCAGATGCCTTGAATAACAGTTCATATATATTTATTTAAAAGATTTATATGGCCACCCATCTTAAGCAACTCTGGGCAGTTTTCAAGAACCATAAAACCAATAAATAAAACAATCAAAGAAACAATAAAATAATAAAGAATCCCACACCATAATCATCCCCCTTGGAATACCCCATAGCAGTCTCAGCCTCTTTCCATGCCTTCTATGCATCCAGTCCCAGAGCCTCAGTAAAAAGCCAGATCTTAATGGCTTCTAAAAAAACTAGAGAGGTAATTGGCCATAGCCATTGACCATACTGATTCCCAGAAATGGGAAGAGCAATCCCATACATCTGAAAGGCATCACTGTACTAGAAGTGGTATAACAAATGAAAAGTTGCTCAATGGACTTCTTTTCTAGGGCTTTGACAAAGAACTGCCTTAGTACTATCAGTTCAGTAGCATTCAATTAGCATGAAATGATGTCCCAGATTCTATGGGAATTTCTCTTTTGCCTTGTATCATGTGTCCCTTTTGTGCACTCCAAGGTCTTTTTGCTTGTAATATCCTATGATTTGAATCTGGTAATTTATAAGATGCTAATGGATTGATGATTATTTTTATAAGCACTGAAATTGAATAAAGTGACCTACGGTTCTCTCTTGCAGTTCTATTATCCTTTTAATGTCAGTGTTGCTTTGGTCGCAATGAGTTGTATAATGACTGGTGCAGCATTCTCAGTTCTTTGATTGATCTACAAGGTGGTAACAATTTCTCATTTTCTGAGCAACAAATAGACAGCAGAATTTGAGAAAAAAAATAGCACAATAGAAAGGATTTCAAGGACATAAATGCTTAATTTGAAAGAGAAAAGTCTTAAATATAAATAATGTTTGTCAACTTGGCATTTAAATTTCTCTTTGCCAGTGCTCTGCTAGAAGGAAAGTATTTCTGTAGAATTAATGACAGGTCATTATTTTTAAAAAATTTTAAATGTCTCTTGAGCACTTCTAAGTAGCAAGTTAGGCTATACTTTCACAAAGTATCATTACACAGATGATAAATAATTGCGAATTGCTGAATTATTTTTTTTACTGAAATTACCTTTGCTTACCAAATTTGAACTTTGTTCACCACTGCAAAGACTGCAATGAAAATGCTGTTAAAAATAGCCCTTGCTTATACTATTGGACTTATAGCTGTATCTCATATTGAGGCATAAATTTACATTCCTAACTGAAGGTTAATCCTACCATTATACCTATGCCTTTTGTCATAGGGTTTCAGCTGAGATCCAATTACTTTGACTTCACTGTTTGTACAGCTCATTCTTTGTATTGTTTCACACTGTGGAAAAAATAATGCAGCTTTAAAGAGATGTTATGCTTGTTCCCCCATGCATTGTGAAGTATCAGTTTGGATTATTTTCAAAGTGCTGCCTAACTCTAATATCTATACTCATTTGCAATGAGAAGCATAAGCATTAATCTCTTTCAGTATTAAAATAAACAATCAAACAAAGTTTCTGGTATTTTTGGACATTTCAGAGAAAGATTAATAATAATTGGTTGCCATTTCCTTGGTGTTAGAAATGAAGTGCAGGAACATTAACTTACATGATCCAGACTTGTTTCCTAATTTGCTATACTTGGGTCTTAAATCCACAAGACTGAAAATATGAATATAAATAACATTGCATTTTAAAAATGTTTATATTCTTTGATTATGCATATCCCAGCATTTGTCATCGATCAAGAATGGTGAAGCTTACATCCATGGGGTTGATCAAAATAATTATGAGTCAGTAAATATTTGCAATGATATATTGTTAACTTGTGCTGTTTGTCTTGTCTTGTCTTTTTGTCTTTTCCTTTCCTTTTCCATTTGATGCAGTGACAAGGAAGAGATTGTTTTAGCTATTTGACTTTTAACTTAACATGGGAGAAGCACATGGAATTGATGAAGACTAAAGCAGAAATGTTTGTGGACATATCTGGACATATGAGCTAATAAACAAAAACTAGAGTCATAAATTTTATTGAGTCATGTGCATTATTTTTCTCTTAGAGATCCTTCAAATTCAAATTAATATTTTTGAATCATGGTTTATAGCATGATATATGAATATAGGCAGAGATAAAGAAAAGCAAGAAGGAAAAGAAAAGTCTCCACACACACAACTATGTATCTATTCTCCTTTCCATTATTTGAAATGTCTACTCCAGGGGTAGGCAACCTTGGCTCTTTTATGACTCGTGGACTTCAACTCCCAGAATTCCTGAGCCAGCCATGCTGAGGGAAAAGGGAGAGGTTTCCAAGCTGAGCCATGCTGGCTCAGGAATTCTGGGAGTTGGTCCACGAGTCATAAAAGAGCCAAGGTTGCCTGCCCCTGGTCTACCCACTAGATAAGATCTTGATGGCTCTAACATTTGCATTTCAGTTTTAGAAATAATCTTAACGTTTGGAACTTTCTTTGCTCTTGTTATATACACATGTAGTAAATGTACCATGTTGGGGAATAGATTGGACTTTTAGGTTATCCCAAGATCACATTACGTAGGCTGAATAGTTAGATGTAGCTTTGTCTTCATTGTCTGTTTTTACCAGATCAGGATTCTACAATTATATGCAGAGTTTACACTACAACTGCTTTTCATTATATGATGTTCAATGTATTCCAAAGATGCATCAGTGTCAAAATGATGAAAACCAATCACCTCCAAATCCAGCAGGAATCTTCTCCCCTAGGCCATTAAGTTGTCTACATAAATACTAAGCATCAAGTCATTTGCTTCTCCCATTGACAACAGTGGACCATAGAAAATTGAAGTTAAAGATTGTGATTAGTCTTC